CACTGATGGCGAACCAGGCAGGCCTGTCCACTGATGGCGAACCAGGCAGGCCTGTCCACTGATGACGAACCAGGCAGGCCTGTCCACTGATGGCGAACCAGGCAGGCCTGTCCACCGATGGCGAACCAGGCAGGCCCGCCCAATCTGAGGCATGACACCGCTTTTGTAACGGCTTGTGATGCAGTCGGACATTGTCGTTTCGTAGAAAACTATGAAATTAGTTTTTTTTTAAAATTTCACTGTAGCTTGTAAAAAACTATGTCACGGGCCAGATGCCTGCCGATGGTCTTGTTAGACGGTTGAGCCTGCGTACGCCCTTGATGGCTGGAGGACAGAGCTGGGCCAGACACGACATCGGTCACAAAAAGTTTGAGAACTACCCGCCCAACGGACTCCAGCAAGCATGGGGTGGCGTATAGCTGAGCCAGTGCTAAGCTGGATATTAATAATATTTTAATTACTGATGTCAACCTATATAAGTGACTGCAAGGTTGATGAAAACATTAATTACCTTCCACATGGCACACTGCCTGCATGTCTTGGGTGGCCTATCTGCCAATGAACTCCAGGAGGTGCAGAAACACTTGAATAGAAAGCCTCGAATAGAGCGCCGCGGGTTATGACAAAGACAAAACGTCCAGTGTATTGGTGACGCAGCTTGTTGCCTTCTATAGAGTGGCTCGGTCGGGGTTTATCTAGAAGTGCATCGATTCATATGGCTCGTGCACCTTCCAATGTGTTCAGTGCGTGTTTACGTGTCTGTGAACTTTTTTGTTCCACCAAAATCAGAAGTGAAACAGAGATCAAGCAAATCCCAACAGCACCGCGCTAGGACAGCCTGCAGCCGGAACTGAACAACTCAGATGCTCTCTGCGGTTTAGAGCTGATACTGTTTCCAACAACCCAGAGAACACCTGATCGACATTGGCAAGCTGTTCGGCTTCGGCATGTCTTTAGTTCAGCGATGTCCTACACTAAACATTTCCCGCACTTGGTGGGTGGGGCCGTCTTCCCTTGTTCTTGTTGGTAGACGACTTTTTTTCTTCCAAAAGGGAACGCGACGCACGTTGTGCCTTTTGTTGAGCGCCAGCGATTGCAGGAGCCGCAATAGCGTTCAGGGGTCATGGCGCAGGCGGGATTACAGCACTACGTCGACGTCACTCTTCGTTGTATTATCTTATGTCGTTCCTAAATTGTTTTTTCGAATTATATCATTAGACATGCAGATGTTCACATAACTGTTTGTATAGTACGCTTGTCTGTTACGTCTTTAATGATATGCCTTTGGATGGCGGGGCTCCACCGCCCATACCACCGGACGGGAGGGAGCAAACATAAAAAGGTCCGGGAAAGATAGCACCGTCGCACACCACCTTCCCGTCTCGGTTACAGCAGAGTACACTTCAGGTCATGCCATGGGTGTGTCACATGGTAAAACATGGGCACGACGTCATTCAGGGTGGCGTCTCGAGGCATTCTCTCCCCCCCCCCCCCCCCATCGTACCACCGACACTACAATCCTGACTCCCCGTCACGAAAGGGCCACGTCCCGAGGCATTCTGCCCCCCCCCCCCCATGGTACCACCGACCCTGCAATCCCGACTCCCCGTCACGAGAGGGTCACGTCCCGAGGCATTCTACCCCCCCCCCCCCCCCATGGTACCACTGACCCTGCAATCCCGACTTCCCGTCACTAGAGGATCGCGTCCCGAGGCGTTCTGCCCCCCCCCCCCCCCTCGTAATACCGACCCCGCAATCCCGACTCCCAGTCACCAGAGGGTCGCTTGAATTGCACTGAAACACATGGGGTGAATATTTAATTGCTTTGAGGCACAAGGCACTGGATCGCTTTCCCCACCCCCTGTTTCCCAGCCTTGCTGTCTCGGTATCATTAGGCCCATCTAGGGTGCTGGAAACAGGTCGCCCTGGTTTCAGCTGAGGCGTCTGCGTCTCCATGCTGCGCAGGAATTCGTCCTTGATGCAGCGGAGATCGCGGCAATGAACCGCCGCGGTCTCCTGCTCGTCTCGGGGCGGTGCATTGCCGCGGTCTCCTGCTCGTCTCAGGGCGGTGCACCGCCGCGGTCTCCTGCTCGTCTCGAGGCGGTGCACTGCCGCGGTCTCCTGCTCGTCTCGAGGCGGTGCACTGCCGCAGTCTCCTGCTCGTCTCGAGGCGGTGCACTGCCGCGGTCTCCTGCTCGTCTCGAGGCGGTGCACCGCCGCGGTCTCCTGCTCGTCTCGAGGCGGTGCACCGCCGCGGTCTCCTGCTCGTCTCGAGGCGCTACCATCGCGCCTCGAGACGAGCATTCGGGCGCCGCGGGGCCAGGTTTTTAAAGTATTTAATCAAAACCTTTTGGATGGGGCGATTGTTGGGATCAGAGCTCATACTAAGCAGTGCCTGCTGTGTGGGCCCTGACCCCTCCATCCGATCGCGCAGCTCCAGGTCAACGGCAGAATTTGGTGGCGCAGGTTTAACGTGCCGCAGTGCTTGGCGTGGTTTGCCCTGCCATCTTACCCCTGTCATCTTACCCTTGCCATCTTACCCCTGCCATCTTACCTCTGCCACCTTAACCCTGCCATCTTACCTCTGTCATCTTGCCCTTGCCATCTTACACCACCTGATTTTAGGCGTGACCGCTACCGCCGGCCGCAGGCCACATACGTCAAGACGTATATATATATATATATATATATATATATATATATATGTATATGTATATATATATATATGTATATATATATATATATATATATTCAGTGCGTGTGTGGGTGGGTGGGTGTGGGTATGGGTATGTGTGTGGGTGTGGGTGTGGATGTGGGTGTGGGTGTGTCAAGGGCAAATACGAGGGCATACAAAGCGATTCGAACTCATCCCGACGCAGGTAGGTGGATCGGGGTTGTGGCAAGTGGTGAAGCCAGCGGTTTGAGCCAGTGGCTTGGTTATTTAGATAAGAGCCCTTTCGGCCAGTCATGGCCATTTCAGGGCTATGGGATGAGGGAGACTGGATAGCGGTGGGACAGGACCACATGCGCCTGGGGACCCAGCCGCCGAGACCTCCTCGCGGAGGGCCCCTCTACGGGGTACGTGCCTGGCGCTCGAACAGAAGCCCCCACCAGGTGCTCTTCGGCCCACTCGTGGTCGGCGCATGCAGCCTGCCCCAGACAAGCGGGGCGTCGCGAGAATCCAGGATAAAGCGAGACAAAGGATAAAAGGGAGGATGCGGAGCCAGCAGGCCGGGGGCGTCCATGGCTGCCCGGGGCGCTGCGGGAGCGGGCGTGCCGCGTGTCCTCGCGCGGTGCGGCCGCGGCGGACTGCGCGGTCGCGCCCCGGACGCCGGGGTGAGGCGGGGGGCGCGGGAACTGGTTCGGCTCGGCCGCCGCGCCGCCTGCACCGCCGGACGCCGGCGGCAGTATGCACTCATTCAGACCTCACAGCCTCAGCTGCCTCGCCCCGTTGTCACCCAGTTCTCACATGTCAACTTCACACAGTTAATCAAGACCCCTGCAAGTAACGCGGCGGGGAGTAGTGATTTCGCGTTACCATACTCACTCGAGGAAAATTCTGCTATGGATTTTTGTTGGGTGAACAACTGTCTCCCCAAATGATATGCTTTAATTCAACTGAATCTGGGATGTAAGCGATACGGTCTGGCTGAATATTGATGCATGTGTTCCAACCTTCTACGCATTCTGGACACAGATGAATGGTAGGGTGTTATGATACGGCGCTGCGTTCGTAAAGCTGGCGAAGAATCAGGACATCAAACGTCATCACCCACTTTCTGCTGCGCTGCCATTAAGACGTAATAGCATCGCAGCTCAATGCCCGCACATTCGGTCAAGGATAGCAAAATGCAGTATTTTCGCACCAGGCGGTGAACATTCATTGATAGCTTGGGGTCGAAGGCATGTCACTTTTGACATGTTCAATCATTCTAGATGGAATCTTTAAAAAATGTTTTTGGCCCGCCTTTTTTCTTTATCACACGCCTATATGTAAAATCTTGCTAGTTGCTAGATACTATTGGTAACTGAAAATTTTAAGCTGCATGCGTCGAAAGTAGTTGTTTCCTGGTAGCTCATTTTTTCATATGGTTTCCTTTTTACAATCCGTTCGTTGTTCGTGTCGAACCATTTGTGCAGAGTTCTGGCATTGCTAAGGGTCCAGTGGCAGGTCATTTTGTCTATGTGAAGTACTGACGTTGCGCTGCGGCATCAATGCTGCAGCGTTAGACCGCAGCGGACCGGCGCCGCTGTTGAAGAAACTGTAAAAGATTTACGTTGCTCTACAGTTCTTGTTGCAAAAGTTTATTAAGCTAGTCGAATGAGAATAATTTCAAACGAACATTTTGTTGATAGAGTTGTAGAAGGCTGTATAACAATTTTTCTTACGCGTAAGCGTTGCAGATTACAACTTCTTGCCTGATAAGCGCTGCCAATTATGGAAACGAAGGTACTCCGAAAGACACCGAGGCACAAGCTATGCAGCACGCTCAGAAGCAGCTAAGTCTCAGTACTCTTGTTGATTATCCAAGGCAAATAGTCTTCACTTGGTACGCTGATATAGTCCCGTGTCCGCTCGCATAAGACGAATGCGTTTGTCGGCTTACCGACGGAGGAGGACGTGTGAGCGGCGTGCCAGCGTCACTCCACCGGTCTGTTCGCCTGTCTCTCCGCCGGTCTGACGTCTATCCGCCGGTCTGACGTCACCCCGCCAGCCTGACGTCACTCTGTCAGTCTGATCGCCGGTCTCTTCGCCGGCCTGACGTCCCGCCGGGCTGATCGCCGGTCTCTCCGCCGGCCTGACGTCACTCCGCATGTCTGATCGCCGGTCTCTCCGCCGGTCTGGGTCCACTCCGCCGGTCTGATCATCTGTCTCTCCGCCGGTCTGACGTCACTCTGCCGGTCTGATCACTGGTCTCTCCGCCGGTCTGGGGCCATTCCGCCGGTCTGATCGCCGGTCTCTTCACCGGTCTGACGTCACTCCGTCGGTCTGTTCGCAGCCGCAGGACCCGCCCAAGTACGAGTTCGAGTATGCCGTGCGTGACTACGACTCGGAGTTCGGGCAGCAGGAGGCCCGGGACGGTGGCAACACGGCCGGCTCGTACCTGGTGAGGCTGCCCGACTCGCGGCTGCAGCGCGTCCTCTACCGTGTCGACGGCGACTCGGGCTTCCAGGCGGACGTGCAGTTCGACGGCCAGGCCCAGCACCCGGCCCGCTACGACCGACCGGCAGCTAGCAAGCGCAGCTACCCCGTCGCCGCTCCCGGACCGCAACATGGTCCGACCTCGAGGCCGGCGCACGCGCCGGCAGTGTCGAAGCCGGCTCCTAGTCCGTCCCATACTCAGGAGCCAGTCTATGGCTCTCGAAAACCCTCCCATTCGTCTCTGAGACTGACCGACACGTCTCCGAAGCCGACTTACGCGTCCTCGAAACTGGGTTATGACTCTAAACCAGTTAAAGCCTCATCAAGACCAATGTACGCTTCAGAACCAACGCATACATCTCCCAGTCCTGTATATGCTTCTCCGAAGCCCAGCTACTCTCCTAAGCCTGTTTACGCTTCTCGTAAACCGGCCTTCGCTACAGAGCCAGCTCACGTGTCTCCTAGGCCTACACACACGCCAGCCCCAGACCCGCTGTCAGCACCAAGCGTCAGCCACTCAACCCCGACCGAACGGTCGCACTCACGCCCCAGTCACGTGCCGTCCTCCCAATCGCCATCTGTATATGACAGCAGCGAGCTGAAGTTAGCGCAAGTGTCGTCCGACCTCTTCGACAAGCCGCTCTTCCGGTCAGAGGTGGAGGGAGTGGTGCACGGGCGCCCGCGGCCCGCGGTCCCACTCCGCTACGGCCCGGACGCCGTGCTACTGGACCGAGACGACGACAAGTTCTTCATTCCCAATCCCGATGCATTTCCGACACGGCACAAGTCGGCCCGCCGCCAAGGGTCGCACAGTGCCTCGACGGAGCCCGACGAAGTCCGCCAGCCGGCGCGTGGTGTCGCGCTGGAGTCCTACAGTGCACCGGAGGAGTCCTATGGTGCTCCTCAGGAGTCATATGGTGCTCCGGAGGAGTCGTATGGTGCTCCAGAGGAGTCGCACACCTCTTCAGATGATCATAATGCTGGCGAGCCTCACGGCAGCCACGCTGGCAGCGCTGTGCCTTACGGTGCTCGCATTACCTCCGGGCATTGGAAACCTTCCGTTGGGTCTCCTTCAGAAGGCCAGCAAAAACAGTTTTTGGATGACTACCCAAGCTACAAAACTGTGCAGGACCAGTATCCCAGTTTTAAGACCATTTGAGATCGGCGCTCAAGCTGAAGAGCATGCGACTAGTTCAGCAGAGGTCTGCGTCTAACGCTCATCACAGCAGGCGTTCGTCTCAGCTTGTACCGTTTTGCTGCAACGCTGAGAGAACATTACGTACAGGCAGCTATTACGTCACGCAGCGGTATGTCCCTTCCGTACAAATGGGAGAACAATGTGCCATGAGTTACAATACATGGCCAAGGTCCGTTCACGTCAATGAATATGCTTCCTCGCTTTCTTATTGTAACGCAAAATCGTGCCCATATTTTTGGTATAGACATATCAGACCAGAAATGCTTTGGATGCATGGAATTCCAAATCATCTTTGTTCCTGGCCATGCACTCTGCACCGCACAACAGGCTTCATATCTGGATCAGCATAACGTCCATTCGCCTGGACGAATGCCTGCGACGCATTGTGCGGTCCCGAGCCCTTATGTGCACGTGAAGAGCCTTTGGTCGGCTTCTACTGATACTCCCGCGAGCTCTGATGTCACCCCGAGACGCAGTCTGTGTAGACAAACGCATCGCCCTAATTGTATGACAACACTAGTGCTGCATTAATGTGTTTGCGTCTTTTCGTCTGCGTAAGAAGCACTGGCCAAGTTCTCCGAGGGCCTTGTAGCGCTTGATCTTCTGTGAACAGTAATGATGTTGTTATTTATGAAGTGCGTGACATACTGTAGGGAAAATACAGCACCGCATCACAAGTTCTAATTTATTTCGGTCCTGGTGATGTATGTTTCTTGCCGTGCAGTGCATGTCTGTGATTAGCGAAATACGCAGCTGGAGTGACTTGATAATAAACCGTCTAATATGGCGACATCGGTGCATGACCTATCACGACAATCACAGACTGGCCGCGCATGATTCGGCCGACGAATGCAGGCGCCGGTCCGCTTTTGTCTTATTTTGGAGCAAACGCTGCCAGACGACCCGTGTCAGTGTGGAGGAAGTTATTACAAATGGGGCCGGAAGCCATGTGGGTCTTCTTCAGCAGTTTTTTCAATTTCAGCAGCCCTTTGCGACAGGCCTTCAAGTCTTCTAGGAGCAAACATTTTTGCAACCAGCGGTCGTAGTCTTACGCGATTTTCGGCAAGAGGAAGAACAATTGCAGAAAAAGGTCTACATATTTTGTTAAGCATTTAGACGCTGTTTGACCAGGTAGTGTTTTTCCTGGATCATTGCAAAACCACCACGGTTTCTTCCCTCCCATTCCATTCATTTGAGAACCGCACAACTTTCAAATCGCAAAAAAGTTCTGAAGGATGCGCCCGGAAGCAGATCAAGACTTCGCCGACCAGGCTTCGTGGCGACATGAGACTAGATGATGATAACAAAGGAAAAAAGGGATATTTGCACTGGCTGTCCAGCCCAACACTCACTATCGCGTGGCAACCATAGATTAGCCCGCTTAGGAATGCCGTTAAAGACTCATAAGGGCTGACGTCAGATTTCAGCAATCAGATCAGACGGAGACGTGAGGCCAACTCCAGACAGCAACGAAGACACGGGATATAATACGTGAAAACATTTGTTTTTTTCTGGGGGGGGGGGGCAAATGCTTTGCTTACTATTGCCACAACTGTAAACAATGGCGGGTTCATTGTGTTCGTCGATTGCAGTTGCCAAACATTACTAGACCAATAACCGACTACTTTTCAGACATGCTAGCAAGCACGCGAATATTGCATCAGGGGACATCCACGTGATAACTCTCGACATGATTCGCAGTTTTTCATAACGCGGATTGATACGGGGGTTCGGCTTAACATGCTTATATACATATATATATATATATATATATATATATATATATATATATATATAAACGATACCATGCCTTAAAGCGACATAAAATTTGAACAGAAATATTTCCTCTTTAATTTTGCGTACAATAGTGTATAGTTTGACATGTTTTCAGCACAGATTTACGGTGTCTGGCTCCGTTAATATAATACCGCTGGCTCTCTGCGGGCGGTCCGTGTAACAGTCCGGCTGCTGCGCGCCGCCTATACCGGCCATAATCGCGGCCTTCAACAAAAGGCCAAATGGAAAAAGTAGAAAGGGATAAAAGTCGAATACCAGAAGAAAAAAGACAAAACGGTCGACAGGATTAAGAGTAGACGCAAAATAAGTCGAAAGGCAGAACATCGTCAGGGACAAAGGCTAACTCGGATGTGTATAAACGCCAGCAGTCAAACCGACTAAAAACAGGGAAATCATCAGGATCTGGCGCCTGGTATGGGGGATGGAGAAAGCTGTGACCACGGGGAGAGGCAAATGGAACTGGATGGGACTGGATGGGACGGGACGAGAGCGGGCGGGACCTTGCAGGGCCAGACCACACCAGACGGGATCGCGAGAGAACAGGCATGATGGGACCAGATCGAATGGAACCGGACGAGACCAGATGTAATCAGCTGGGACGGGACCGTACCGATCAGAACGGCACCAGACGGCGCCACGCTTGACCGGACGAGACCAGATGTGATCAGCTGGGACGGGACCATACCGATCAGAACGGCACCAGACGGCGCCACGCTTGACCGGACGAGACCAGATGTGATCCGCTGGGACGGGACAGTACCGAACGGAGCGGCACCAGACGGGACCACGCTTGACCGGACGAGACCAGATGTGATCCGCTGGGACGGGACCGTACCGAACGGAGCGGCACCAGACGGGACCACGCTTGACCGGACGAGACCAGATGCGATCAGCTGGGACGGGACCGTACCGAACGGAGCGGCACCAGATGGGACCACGTTTGACCGGACGAGACCAGATGTGATCAGCTGGGACGGGACCGTACCGAACGGAGCGGCACCAGACGGGACCACGCTTGACCGGACGAGACCAGATGTGATCCGCTGGGACGGGACCGTACCGAACGGAGCGGCACCAGACGGGACCACGCTTGACCGGACGAGACCAGATGCGATCAGCTGGGACGGGACCGTACCGAACGGAGCGGCACCAGATGGGACCACGTTTGACCGGACGAGACCAGATGTGATCAGCTGGGACGGGACCGTACCGAACGGAGCGGCACCAGACGGGACCACGTTTGACCGGATGAGACCAGATGTGATCAGCTGGGACGGGACCGTACCGAACGGAGCGGCACCAGACGGGACCACGTTTGACCGGACGAAATCAGACAACATCGGATGTTGCGGGACTTGTTCGTTTTATTTGGGCTTGAGGGCGCGTCGACATCCGTGGTCATTTTGCGCCCAGGCTATTGCTAAGTAAAACTGTAACGTGCTATAACATAAGGGCTGCTGTTGTAGGATTCCCAAGCGTATCCACACAAGCTGCAACATGAATGGTCACGACACGCAGAATGCGAAGGAATTACGCCAGGGTGCTTTCAACTAGAGTCGTGTGGCGTCAGAGGTGCCGTAGTCAGTATATGATGGTGAAGTCGATGTCGTTAAGAAGTGCAAAAACTGATCTAACGTTGATAGTGGGGTCCTTGCCTATGAGTGAACGCAAGGACAATCTAAGTTGCCCATGACGACCAAAGCGGCGATAGCGCTCCGTGGCGAAGTGTGGACACTGCATGATACTTGGGTGGCGGACAGCGCATGGGCACGGCGAGGACATCCCAGTGCCTGCCCTGCTGAGAGGAGAAACCCCTGTGCGCCGTACGTGTGACCTATGCGGACGAGGCACAGGCTAACTTCCTCTTTTCTACTGTCGCGATAAGAGGACTGCCACTCGCCTACCTTTTACTTAATAGCCTCGAGCTTGTTTTGCGCATTTCCATGGTCATCACTGCTTTTCCGATCCCATGCCTTTTGCCAGTCTATCTTTAAGCGAGCTGACAGCACCTGCATAAAGTCAGAAAATGATGCTCGAAGAGAGCGAGAGCGCGTTCCGACTGCTCCCTCCTTTGCCCGTCTTTCCGACTGCTCCCTTCTTTGCTCTCTTGTTCCCAGAATACTGCTCAGGGAGTCAGACAGAATAACAAACCGCTTCGCCCGTTCCTACTCCCCAGAGACTAATGTTTCCTTGAATACAAGAAGTTCAGCGGTAAACATCGAACAAAAAGGGGCAATGTAAAGCATTTCGTCCAGCTGTTACACACTACAGCGCATCCTGCGCCTGCCTCAGACTTCGAGCCATCGGTGTAAATGCAAAACTACGCATCATAGTTGGTACACACACATTGGAGAGGTCAGACTGCAACTCCTCCTGAATACTCCCAACTCCCTCTTCAGCTCAATCATGGTGACTGGGTCGTTGTAGCTCTCAGAATCCTTCGGACGAAAGTCCAGGAACGACGACTCGC